TCTTTCCCTCTTTTTCTCACTCTCTCTACCCAGCCACCTCCTAGAGTTTGACAATATTCCTGAATGTCGCTGTGAACTATTGCAATTACCAGATGTTAGATTTTCTTTGAGCCACTGGAGATTGTTGTGGCATAGTTATAAAAAACTTTTTGTTTTCCTTCTGGATTTTGTTAGTAAGCTTTTATTTATTAGCGTGCTACCAGTGTTGTCTTAAGCTTTACATTTTATGTCACTTAAAGCAGAACTCCACAGTACTGCCCAGCTGGCAGTTTGGTAGCACGGAGTGAAACAGTGAGAAAATGCTGATAATCTAGGTCATTGTAACAACTTGGAGGGAAAGCAAAATCCTTTACATGCTAAAGAACAGTTTGTGAGTGCCATGGCTGGTCTTTTAATTCAGTCCTCTTCACTAAAGCTCACGTGATCTGTCAAGTACACTGTGCTTTACCAAGGGTAGTTTCATAGAGAACATCTCAGTCCTGACCTAACTTGCACTGCTGGTGTCCTTTACCAACTCCTGGCAATAGGCTAGATAGCTGAAGGGTTTGGGAGGGGGGAACTGAGAATTGTGTGGGCTCTGTCCATCTGTGTAGAGATTTACAGTGTCTTTCTACTTTTGTATTAGAACAGAAGTGTTTGGAGGCCTTGTGAACCTACTGAAATGCTTACTAGTTGGCATGCTGGACCTCTTGGTTGGGATGATGTATACCTGTCTCAGTACAGCTCTACATTTAAGAAAGGCCATACTAGTGGTGGTTCTTTACCCTGTATATAGGATGGGGCAGTTTAGTTTTAAAATGTGAGCCATCTATCACTGCAAAGGCCTTCCCTGCTTCCTTGCAGCTTTTCTAGTTTTGAATCACAATGTCACTGACTTGCTTTCAGTGTCTGTACAGGAAAAAAAATGCACTTCACTTTCTTCAAGTATTTCTTCATCCTGTCTATTAAAGTACCATTTCTTGTTGTCTTTTTTCACATTCCCTTTCACTTCATGGTGTTCCTTCTCTGTTGATGTAGAGATCTCTTTCTTAGATAACTTAGCAGAAAGCGTTAAGTCAATCTTATCAGTCTGTTTTTGCCCAGACCTCTTAAAAACTATAAATACAGAAAGTGGGATTCTTTCCAAATGAAAACTCTTATCCTTAAATCTGGCAAGATTCCTGGGTGGAGGTGGATCCCACTTTTTCTCCTAGGAAAATAGATCCTTAACATTAACCATTGTTTTCCCAAACTCCAAACAGAGTATCTTATCCATTCTATTATTTAAAAATGGATGTGGTGGTTTTGAAGAAGGAAGGAGGATCAAAGCAAATGATGATCTAATAAAGGCTATGCTGTATTATGGAAAAAAGGTTCAGCAGGAGAGAGAGCTATTATTTTGCTTGTAACTGGACCTATTCAAAGAATTGACAGTCTGTAGTAATTAAGAGAAAAGAGAGCAGAAAAAGGGAAGATCTGTGTGGTGAATGACTTTGAGATCGATCAATTTATTTTTTTTCTTTGTAACAGTAGCAGAACTCTGCCATTTTGACCTCACCAAAGAGGAGTACTTGGAGTAAAACCACAGCAGACAGAAGTCTTCACATGAACCTTCAGTTTTGCTTTGAAGCATATGGGATACATTTAGTTTTAAAACTTCTGATGAAGACTGAGACAAATCTGGCTTTATAGCAGGGTACAGTGTTGTTGTTCTTGAGGTGCTGTGCTTGGTGGGATGATGCACAATGAGGCTAATGATACCATAAGTCAACATTAAAAGTGAGGAGAATTCAGAGTCCACTTGTAGTCCAAATGTTTTAAAATTCCAGCACTTGTAGTAAGTACTTTTTTTTTAAAGGTTCTCTGTATTGTCTGCAGGAGATTATTTGAACTGCAGTTTAATATGCAGTGTTTCAAAGCAGATCTAGAAAGATCTGTAATGTATTAAAGAATGAATGGAGCCATTTTATTAAGCTGGCATTTGTGAAATGACACATGCTTGCTTAAAGTCAGTCCTGCTTTGATAGGTTTACAGATATGTATAAATGAAATGTGAATGAAAGACTGCATGGGGGAGAGAGAGTGGCTGCTAAATGAAATTACCATCGTGGTTAAAAAGGAACATTTAAGCTCAGAGGTCCTTCCTCTTCTAACAATTATTGAAATGCAAATTTTGAGTGTAGCTTGTTACAGTAAGGAGGATTTATAAATAGGTGTCCCTTGGCTGCAACAAACAAACAGCTCCAGGATGCTTCTGCGAGTGAGGGAGTGCCCACACATTCTAACTCTCATGACCCTGGTGAACCCACCCTTTGCCGTGAGTTTGCCATAAGGTATCCAAGATAAGGTCTATACCAACATAAAGTAGTGGGTGACACTCAGGAAGAGCACAGAGGGCAGCAGTCTAAGACAAATACTGTACAGATAAGAAGCTTAAGTGCAACTTGTGCTTTATCTTTCCTAGTGGGTTGGAGGTGATAGACTTTTCTGTTGGAGGCTGATCACTAGATTATAGCCAGGTGTGAAGCAGTCGGAAGTTATCTAGGGGAGTGTTCTTGTACTGGTTTTGATTAGGAAGTAAGATTTTATGCTTCTAGTATTGTCACATTTAATCTTAGCCTTGTTAAATTATAGCTGATGTTTTGTTTTGTTTTGGTCAAGAAAGTATTTATATTGGTACAACCCCCCAGTGATTATTAGCAGTAGCAGAATTTTACATACTACATTATTAAATTGCTAAAGAGCTGAACCAAGCACTCACTAGTGGAGGAAGGCTTCCTTTTTGCCTGTAGCAAATACATAAGAGGATTTTCTTCAAAAAATAATTAATTAAAATGTCTACACTAATCACTACAAAACTTAAAAGTAAAGCTACAGTGTCCCAAGCGTGCCTCTCATTGCCAGATAAGTATTCATTAGAGGTATGGGAAGCTTAATTAAATGTCCATGTAGTGGTTTGTATTTGTGAACTGCTAAAAGCTGTTATGGCAAGAGATTGCAAGTGATTAAAACTTGTAAAGGTAACAGGAGATTGGGAACATCTTGAATTGTTTTCCTTGTTCTTTATTCACTGCCTGGAAAGTGAGAATAATGAGATTTTGTTTTGGATTAATTTGGAACACAGTGAGAAGCATCTGTGTAAACTAGGAACTGTATATTCAATGAGTTTCTGGATGAAATGCAGCAATGCTTGTGGCCATGCCTTGAGGGTTTATTTACAGTGTTGGTGAAAGAAAAGAGGACATATCTGTCTCAAAGCATTCCCCCTCTGTGAGCCAGGAAAAAACTGAAAACCATTTAAAGTTACTTGTAAACAAGATTATTGAGAAAATTCTACACGGGGTAGAAATGGGTAGACAGTTTTTCACTGCTGCATTTATTAGCTTTCCAGTGACTGTCTTTACAATGTAAATTGTGCTTTCTTGGGTTGTATAAGTGCTACTTAATGAAAGTACCCTTCAAGGTAGGACAGAGATGGGGACTGATAAGACCTGGACTTGTGGCTCTGACTTGAACTATGTGGCTGCACAGCCTTGGGAAAATGACTGCTGTGCAGCTTTCCACCTTTGTCAAGGGGAGACAATGCCTTTAGAATTGCTTATGTGAACATGAGGTGGAGATTAGAATATGAGATAAATTACTGTGCTTTTATTTAGTGTAGTGCATTAGAACTGGGTACTTTTAAGCTAGATCATATTGTTTTATTTGTCCATGGTAACGATTCCCATATTTTTCTAGCCAGACAATTTGAGTATAAGAGGATATCAATGGTCTTTGCTATACCCATGGGTTTTCTTTATATGAGAAATCCACGATGGAGTAGACTTAAAGATAATTTGGCTTTGTCTCTGGTAGTGACTAGTTGTGGATGCTTATGGGAAGAACAGAGCAGCCTTGTGGCACTACTTACTCCTGCACGTATTCTCCCAGTGTTTTATAATCTGTGGAGATACATATCTCCCCTACTTACCCAGAACTTTTTCAATGCTGCCTGAAAAGCAATTAGTGGAATTTTGAAAGGAAGGAGCTGCTTAGCTTGCAGATGAGTGTTTGCATTGTGCTTTTGCAATGCCCCCTCCCCTGCCGAGGTGGCTGATGCTGTAGGACAGTGTGCAAGCCTTGCAGTTCAGTGAGGTATTTATTGTGACAGCAGCTGACATCAAGTCCCAAGAGGGCTCTGAAAGATTGGTGTTGGATTGCAGGCTCTTCAGTTTAGGTATTTCTCACCTCATCCAGGTATGCTGTTTTCTCTCTGTGCTTTCTTCAGGAGTGAATACTGTTGGGTGATAGGCCCGTGTATCAAAAATGGTCACAACTTGAATCTACTTTTTATGGTAGTGTATCTGGTACTCTTGGGTGATGTGACACTGAAGGGGAGGGGTAGCAGCTCATCCTGTGTGTTTTTAGGAACTGTAACACTTCTTTATTTCTTATCCTGCAGGTCGGTGAGCTGGTGAAGGTCACAAAGATTAACGTGAGTGGTCAGTGGGAAGGAGAATGTAATGGCAGACGTGGTCACTTCCCATTCACACATGTCCGTCTGCTGGATCAACAGAATCCTGATGAGGACTTCAGCTGAGTGTGGCTCAACAGTTGCTCTTACAGATGGGAACAATTTCAACTTGTTTTTATTGCAGATGCCATCAAGACTGTTCCGACAGAAGCTGAAAGCGGTATGGCTTGTACAAGCATTCTGATAACCTGCAAACCCCTGGGACTGAGCACCACCATTCCTTAATCAAGGGTCATGTAATTCAGGGTACGACAGTAGATAACTTGTGAGTCAAGTGGCAGAACTAGTAGATGATTATAGGTTGTAATGCCTGCTTATGTCCATGTGCACAGCAGACTGGACCTTGCCAGCAGCAGCAGTTGGAGAAAGCAGTAATGTAGCTGTTACAATAACATTTCTAGCTCTCTCCTGTCCTATTGCTTATGTTGCTTCTTCCTCAGGCAATGAACATCAACCTTAGACAATTCAATATATAATAAGATGTTTCACAGTTTTATCCTGGAGCTTTCTCTATATTTTTTTTTTTCCCATCCTGAATTCCCTGTCCTAGAAAGGCTCTATCATACTTGGCATGGTCAGTAACTGTGCTCAGTGCAGATCTGGGCAGAGCCCCCTGGGACAGCCTGATGATTTACAGGTGTTACCATGGTCATGGTAAATGGCAGATCAAATCAACCTTGGAATTCTAGAAGTTTGTGGACACTAGATTGATTTATTCAGTACTGTTGATGCTTCAAACATAGCAGCTGATTTTAAATTAAAATTTCTATTAACACACCAATATATATATTTTTTTTTAATCCACAAGTGTAAGGTTTATGGAAGTCTAAACATTCATATCAGTGCTGAAAAATACGTGCATAGCACTTTAATGCATAGCTTTAAAGCAGTATTTGATTCACTAAATATACTAAAATATTGACATTGCTTTCCAATAAAATTAAACTATATAGGGCCAGTTTTTCTGGAATTCTTCAGCACTCCTGTTGTACAGTGCAGATCAGTGTCAAATATGGTGAACTGACAAACCAAATACTACTTTTAAAGTTACTCTGGAGACTCTCTTGGTTTAATTCCCATCTGTAAAATACTTGATAGTGAATTCATGAGGATTTTATTTTTAATAAACTAATGGAAAATACTTGTGTGCTTCTGGATTGATTCTCAAAAGGCATAAGACTGTAACTATGGCTTCATAGCTCATAATGCAAATCAGTGCATTGAGTAGGTGGTAGGATGCACTGCTTGATTATTTTTTTTCTGTTCTTCTAATCATCTGGTTTTCTCTAACATAAAATCAGAATGGATTCAGTAAGTTTTGTAAACTGAAATTAAACACTGAAGTAACTATCCCTTGCTTGTACTTGGGATTGTTTTCCAAACACGGTATTCTAGTGACCAAACTAAAATAAATTTTGTAACTTTAACTACAGCGTGAGCCACACAGAGCAGTTCTTCTGAATAGGATCAAGCTGAAAATGCTGTTTGGGTTGATACAAACCATGTGAGTAGAATGGCTTGTTGGTTGTTAATGCTGCCAGAGCCAGTTGCCACTGCAGAGGCTGTTGGTACAAGGCACCAACCCCTACAACAATACTGGGAACACTTTACCTCAGAACTGTGAAACATGCTGGAAATTAGAATATTTCTGTTATATTTAAGTACTAGTTGTTTTACTTCAAAACTAATCCATCAGCAAGACTAATTTTCAGGTAATGGGCACTCATTAATTCTATAGACTAACACCAATGTACATAATCATACTTTCCATCACCAGTCTCATAAGAACTACTGAGAGTATAAAATTTACTCATGAGGAAACAAAATTGAGAAGCTAACTCTAGGTTCTGTAACATTGGTTTTTTTAAGGCTAATTTGTATTTTTCTTCTGACCTTGATATTTACAATGACTGATTTTTCTTTTCAAAAGCTGCACTCTAAATAATAGACTGATAAACTGAGTTGATCAGTTGCCCTTATATGCTTATATTTTTCTTCAGGTATTGTACAAGAAACATTACAAACTGTGTGTTTTTAGAGTAACACAGTGTCTTCTGAAGTATTTTTTTCCAATTGCAGTTAATGAAAGCCTGTATGTTTGTAACTGTCCAATCAGCAATTATTTTAAGATACCAAAATAACTTTTTTCTGAAAATAAAAAATTTATTATGCAAGTCTTGCCTTTTTAATATGAAAGACAAAGTGAATTAACTAGCAAATACCCTGCAAACTTTGTGGATGTGTTTTTGCTAAGACTGTATAAATTGAGAATATTTGTACACTTGAAAAACAACTAGAGACGTCTTAATAGCTGCTGTTGCACTAGAATCCTAAGTTCTTGTCAAGCAGTTTTTCTTAGTCAACTGATGTATTAATGCAACTGTTTTCCACTATTCAGTTCTAAGCCAAAATGTGATTTTGTTTGATAGGTGTTAGAAATGAGTATGTTTGCATTTGGACAAAGTAGACATTTCAACTTACCAGGCTCTTAAAGGAAAATAGGTAGAAGGAACATGTAGATTAAATCCTTTTGTGGCCTTTGTTCATCCTCTTCTATATGTTCCCTCCTTTCTCCCTGATGCGTGCAAAAAAAATCATTGCTAAGAACGTTGGTCACAATCTTTTTGTCTCTACTTGGCTGTGTTTTGGTCTCTTGTGCATAGGCAGGTGTTAGAACTAGAATAATCATTTCTAGAAATACACCGTGAAATCAGAATGCTCAACTACACTGTGTTCTTCTGGTGCATTTACACAATTATATCACACTAAAAAGTACAACTGGCTGCTATGGTTTTTTAATATATATTTAATTTTGGTAAACCCCAGCCTTTTTACTAATATTTGACCTGGTTAAATCTTGTTAATCTGTTTGAATGGTATTTGTTAATAATGCAAATATTTCTAATCATGTTAAGAGTAAAAACACTTCATTTTTGTTAATGGTTTTGGGGAAGGATTCTAACCAAACCAGTTTGAAGAAAAATATGAACATGTGCCATTGTATTATAACACTATCCACTTTCTTGACAGTTAAAGTCTTTTTTTTTATTTTTTTGTAGCATGTAATGTATATGTTCATAGTACGTGAAGTAAATAAAAGTATAGCCAAAACTTTGCCTTGGTGTCATTCTCAATCAGTGTTTCATAGTCTGAGCATAAAACTGCATGTATGGCCTTTTTTAATTGGCCACGCTGGTATGGAAACAAACATAACACCTTGGTAAGACAAATGAAGGTAACTAAAATAATTTACCAACCAGTAAAATAAGGCTTTTTTTGAAACAAGGTGACTTTGTGAAATCAAAGGGGTTGCCTAAGTTAAGGGGGTGGGGTAAAAGTATATTCTGTTCTGCGCAGAACATTGAGACTTTGTAGCTATTAGTCTCACTTCTGCCCAAGTGTACTGGGAAAATGTGGAAAAATAAAAAGCTGTTAATCTTTTACTGATAACTGTAAGGATAAAGTGTAAAGTTAATACCAGCAAGAATCTCATACAGGAGTTTACTAATGGTTCAGAAGAACTACGTGTGGTAGTGAAGAATTTGCAGTGTCCTATCAAGGGAAGAGACACAGAAGCTGAGGAGCAGAATGCCTGCATCCCACGTGGGAAAACACCTAACATCAATCTGGATTAGACCTACCTTGCCAGCATAATCCTTAAAAGCTGCAAGGGAAAGTGGCCCACAGGCCCCCAAGGATCTGGGTGGCAATACTACGTCTAAAGCCAGGCAGTTTAATTTGGGCTGTTCCCCAAAGAACAGTCCTAGCTCCACACCAGTGGTTCCCTAGCTCAGCACGGTGTCCCACAATGAATCACGGACCCTCAACACCCCTTAAAGCATTTGGCCTTCTGGAGGTGCTCCCTAGTTCCAGAGGTTCTTCCTGCCTGGGAAAGGCTTATGTTGCAGGTTCCCAGTTAAAGCACTGTCATTTCTAAACGTATACAAGGCCCAGCCTTGTTATGGTTAGTACTGCTGTAATCATCTTCCTTGCTGGTGAGGACAAGACCAGCACTTGTTTCCTTAGTCACTCCATTACAATGAGAGCTCCTCAAGAGTTTAGTTGATTCCTGTTTGGCTGGCTACTACAGAGACCTTGCCTGGTTTAGAGGAGTCACCAAGTGGGGCATTACTTGTTAAATGAGTGACTTTGCATTTCAGTGTACTGAGATGCCAGACAAGTTTTCCTGTGATGTCTCCACATGGTTATTTCACCAGCTTCAGGTGGAAAAAAAAACACTTCAGAGGTAAAAGTACTGCCCCCAGCTTTGCTCCAGTGTGTGTACAACCTGGCTGCAGCAGAGCTGCAATCCAAGAGTGCCTTTTAATGAGATTACCTGAGACAATTTAAGAGCTCACTGCAGCCAAAAGAAAGAAGTTCCATGTGCCTTTCCAGGCTGCTCTGCCAG